AGTAAATCATCTTCCAAATTTACTACAATGTTTTACTTTACAATACTTACTTTTGATCAAAGCCAAAAGAGTATCTGTACATCACTGTCAAAGAAAGCTCAGCTCCCTCAGCCTCCCTCCGTTGGTGCAGTACTGATCTGAACTACTAAAAAGAAGAAATATGCACTTTATGTAACTTCTAATAGCATTTTTATCCTGGTTTGGTAATACAGTGGTTCGATGATTTAGCATTTGGATACTATAGTGAGATACAAACAAGGCTTTTCACACACACAAACTTTTTTTTTTTTTTTTCTCCTCTGTAAAAAAAGCGTTGCTGGGAGGTCAAGTATCCACAAGCGAGAGAGAATTCATCCATGAAGGCCAAGATAGCATGTTTCCATAATTTTATTTTCAAAATGAAGGTGGAAGGCAAGTTTTGGCATGGCCCTACCTCCGTACTTGACTCTCTAGTAAGGTTTGCTGATAAAAAAAACCCAGAAGCCACTGCTAGTCCTTTCAGAGCCGCTGATACCAAGTCTCTGTCTGTACTTCCCCTCTTGTGTGCATGCAAAAACAGGAAAGCGAAATCCAGAGATTCATGTATGAAAAGGTGTTTTTCCTTGTTTTTTTAGATAATGTATCTAGAGAAAAACGTTTAATATTCTGAATCTAATGAGCCCACCTGAGGGAATGCCCAGCTACTGCTTTTGAGGCTGTTTTTTGGAGCCAGTCTAAGAATTCATGTTCACCAATTAGAAAGTATTGCCACTCAGTTTCTCTCAAAGAAAAAGCAGATTTTGTTTTGTTTTAATTACTATTATCAAGGGTGCTTTGTAATTTATCCAAATTATCACAGCTTTACATTGCAATATAGTTTAGAGCTGGAAGAAACCTACTTTAGAGCTATTGGTCCTTCTCTGTTCCCAGCCAAAAATAAAGGTACCGGAGAAAGGGCACGATGTTCCAGCATGAGACATGACCCCAGAGCTGAAGGCAGGGCTGCAGGTGGGGTCTCACTTAGAAACTTTGTTTTCTACCAGGTTTCTTGTCTTTTTTTGGCATCTATTCTCCCTCCCCTCACTTACTGCCTGCAGTGCCTTTCGCCTGGGCTCAGAGCCTGGACCAGAACACGCTGGAAACCGGGAGCCTCATGCTGCTGTTCTGCCGCATGGGAGGGACGCAGAACCACTGCCTTCTCCTCGTTTTACCTGCATGCTGCCTCAGAAGCAGATCCTGCCACTTGGTTCTGCTCAGCCACGGGTTATCTGCGCAAGAGAGGAAGAAGAGAGGAAAGGCTTCTCGTCTGCTATACGTAGGATCGCGTTCGTGTGAGTAGAAAGTCTTCAGGACAGGCAGTTCTTCCCCTCTCGTGGGGATCCAAACCTCTCTGGGCTCCTGTGCAGGTGCGTCAGGACTCTACTGCAGCAGTTTTCCTTGCAGGAACCAGACATTCAGCAGCTGGACCTTGCAGCAATGAACTTTTAACCCATTCACCTGCAGTGATCTGTATTTTACCAATAATTTGTTAAGAAGAAAGAAGCTGAATCTCTGGAAGCAATGCGGATCAGTTCTCCAACTGATACAGTTAATTTTTTGACTGATGGTCTTTTCTTAAGATGAGTTATGTATAAACTACGGCTGTACAAATTTTAGAAGAAAGAAAAGCCCCAGGAAGAACAAAGTAATTCTGTTTTCTGCGAGCACAGAGTCCAAGGAGATGATACATTATAAAGGATTAATAGCACGCTGAAGAAACAGTAAAATTAATATTTGACACAAAAATCTCCAGATTTAATACATGACTCTAGGAGATGGATGTTTATATTCTTAAGTGTGTCCTGGGAGCCTGTTTTTAGACAACGGAATCCATCTGATTCCTCCAGCTATGTGTATAGCGTATGTTCGAGACCCAGCAAATGGACATTTTCAGCTTCTGAAATATTCCGAGTTCTTTACATTAAAAAAGTGAATGCATGGAAGAATTGGGTTCCCTTCCTGCTCAGAGCAAATAACACCTTCTTGTGCTCTCCTAAACAGAAAACCTCCTTACAAAAAGCCACCAGGAGGCAGCACATTAAAACATTTGTGCTATAAAACGGCATCTACAAGGACAAAAAAACCCCTAAAACCAAACCAAACCCCCAAAAAAACTCTCGGCCCTCTCCCAAATCTTCAACCTGGTATTTGGCAAATGTCTTCTGTCCACTCCTCTCCTTGTCATTAGGCTTTACGCACCCATCTTGCTTCTCTCCATACCCGAAATTAGCCGCAACTCCACCGCCGTCAAACAGCTTACTGCAGGCACACAGTTAAAATGGAAGTCAGACCGATTTCTGGAATAGCATTTCGTGGAAAAAATGAGTAAACAGAGTAGGTAAGAAGCGATATGACAAAACAGAAAACCTCTCAACAGACCAAACCGCTTTCAATTCCTCTGGGGTTTACTGAAACATTCCAAACCTCTGAGCTCTCTCCTAACTATTTTTTTTTTCTTTACGTTTCACAAAGACAGAGCAAAACGCTACCTAAAAGGAAGTGCCGAAATTTTCCCGAACCCAGGAATGCGCTCTCGCTCCTTTGACGGGCGGTACGGTACAGTACGGAGGGATCAGTGCTTCAGGTCCGGCTGTGACGCCGCCGTCCCTGGCACAGAACCAGGGAACGGATCCAGCTCTGCCTTTCATGACCCAGGAAAGCTCGAAGTTGTTTCCTCTCCTCTGCCCTCTCGGTCCTTCTTTTCTGCTGCCATAAAGGACTTGGGGCTCAGTGTAGGATGAGAGAGCCTAAAATCACTACAGACATATATGAAAGCTTGTAAACCCGTACGTTACTTTAAAATGCTAATTATTTGTGGATTTTTAATGCACTTTATGCAACACTAAGCTTACAGTAACTGCTCTTACAACATCTTGTGTTACAGGCTGAGCGAACAAAACACAGTAAGGCAGCTACAGAGATGTGCAAACTACCTAAAATGTTTCTAAATACGGACCTATAAATACAAGGTATGAGCAAAACCTATCCAAGTGCAGCACAAACGGTGTACAGTCAGGTCCTTGGGAAAGGCAGTTAAGAACTAGCCAAAAGGACAAATCACGAAAGCACACACTCTTATTTTTAAACTAAAACATTTGGCTCGTAAGAAACCTCATTCCTGTGCCTGACTTCTTAATTCAAACAGACACTACCCATTTTCCAGTGAAAAAAAAATCAGAATTGATGGGTAAATCAAAACGCAAGCACGATGTCAGCAGAAATCACAAATTTATTAATCCTTAAATATATCAATCATTTACCATTATGGCAAGAAATATGTACACTGTGTCCCATGGTAAACTGCAGTGTTCCAAAATGACAGAAGAGAAGTGTATATATAATTCAGTTGTGGTGGAGAGAACAAATCACAATTTCCTCACGTCTCGGTGTGGAAGACAAACTTGGTCTACAGTAATACGTCAACACCACATGCTATGTTAGAAGTATAAAAAAAAAAAAACCACCCTACACCTAATTTGTTAATTTTAAATACAGTTATGCCACTTATAGCCGCTTCACAAAAAAAGTAAAGAAATCAATGAGAAAAAAAAAAATGAGGCCGTTACTTTTTTCACAGATCCCATTGGCAGGTTAATATGGCTCAACACATTTATTGTAGATGCTTATTTTAAATATATATTGTTTAAAATCATGTAGTAATTATCAGAGAAGCTTAAATCCATCTACCATACATCCACTAGTAACAACATCAAAATGTTTTAAGAACTGCTTTTGATTAGTAATCAACACAGAAAGGTGAAAGGATACAAATTATAGGAAGCTCTCCCGTTTTTAAAAACGTCAGGCTGCCGCGTTGTAAATTTGTAACCGCGAAAAAGGACATCGATTGAGAGACCATGCACTATACAGCGCTGCAGAAAACAGCCCCGCTGGTAACAGAACAATTAATAAACGGAAAAAAAAATAAAAAAAAAAAAAGAAAGAAATAACCGATCCCTGTATTTTTCTATTAAAAATAGAAAGGAATAAACTGAAACGCTCGCGAGGACGAACCTTCACAGCGATGGAAGGGAAGCAAAACCAGTCCCTGTTACAAAGCCTCTGTCCCGACCCGACGCCGTGAGCGTTCCCCGCGCAGCGTACGGACCTTCGCGGCGACGGATCGGGGCCGAAGGGAGTCGGTCACGCTGCCAAGGCGGTTGTCCTCCGTAACCATCCGCTGCGTGAGGATGTTCCGAAAGCGAGAGCGGATTGAAAGGGAAGAGGGGGCGAAAAAATCCGCGGTGAAGCGTTAAGAGTCGTATTAGAAAACTGGTGTATCCGTAACATGTTTCCAGAGAAGCGACAGCAACAGTGTAAAGTAAGTGAACTCTCCGTACTAAGCTTTTAAGGCCTAATATTTCTCGAGGATATGAACCACACAACCCATCTATAGCTTAACCGAAATTGCAGGTATTTTAAAGCCTCCTTAAAAAATTTACAGTGCACCCTAAAAGCGATAAAAATCTGTCTTTCTCTGTTCTTCCGTTTCAATCCTCAAAAAACGCCCCTCGATCATTACTTCGTTCCCTACGATTTTTAATTTTGCTTAATCATCCAATAGAAATTTTCAATTAGTGTAGTAAGAAAGCAAAAGGGAAAGACTCAAAAGCAAAAAAAAAGAAGCTGCTGGCTCACCAGAATATTGACAGTTAATTCTGAAGTGACCAAGCCAGCAAATGAGGAGATTTTTCCAGTTTACAGAGACTAATAAACCAAAGAGGCTTCAGCTGGTACAAAGCCAAGATATTATCACTTCCACATTTATCAGCGATTTCGTCCATCTACGTGCTGTAATAAAAATCTGTTTTACAGTAACGGAGCTGCCAGCGGAAATCCTAACCATTCCTACCAGAACCAAAGCAAAATCCTGGGACTCGGGGAGCGGGGCAGAAAACGGGGAGTCAAAAACCAGTTCTTAAAAAAAAGAGGGTCAAATGTACTTTTTCTTTTTTTTCTTTTTTTCTTTTTTTTTTTTTTAGTAAACAAGATAGTTTTTAAAGTTGTCTGTCAAAACTTGGCGTAAATGGAGGAAGTGACAAATGTGTTCTGTATCTACTGCTGTCCATCAAATATTTTTTTTTTTTTTGTGTCTTTTATGCCTCGTTATCCTCTATTTGCATGGAACATCACCTTCATTTGAAATGTTTAACAGTGTACGGATGGAATATACAGCGACATGGCGCATCACAAACGTGTTACATGAAGAACCTTCACAACTTCATGCACTCAGAAACATGCATGAAGAGAACGGGATGGCCAAGGTGGTAATCAACCGGGTGCGTTGGGTACAGAAAACGCAAGAGCGGCACCGCCGATATTTTTAGCTAGGAGGAAGGAGAAAAAAGAAAACAACAGGTTGCCATTACTGCAGTAACATCACCACCAGATAACAATACATGCTCAAGTGTTAGCCAGTACTATTAAAAAACAAAATCTTATCAAGATCATTTAACACAATATCGTGAAGAAAATCCAGGGGAACAAAAAAACAAACCCCAAAGGCTCAGGCAAAGCATTCTTTTATTTTTCAAACCACCTTACAGACATTTTCCATCTCTACAACATGCCAGAGAGGCTGTTAAAATGAAAAAGGAAACTGAAGCAGGAAGCCAAGGTGTCTTAACTGCTTTTCTTAAAGGAGGGAGGGCAGAATTCCGACAGGAATCTCTGAGTTTAACTTATTTCCCCAGCACGTACGTTACGGACGCTGCCACGGACTGAGATTCTCGTATAAAAATCAAATCAAGTAAGAAGGAAGAACCAGATGTCATTTACATGCAAGACATGCCAAAGCCGTACGTGAAGAGAAAATGAAAGAAAAAGAATGTGTAAGCAAGTAGTTAACTAACTCAGCTTATAATATCACTTGTATTACCGTAGCATCTAGGGCCCGAAGTCGTGGTGGGGATCCCGCTGTGCTAGGCGCTGTACAAACACAGAACAAACTCTTTACTGAAGTCTCCCAGCTGTTTGGTACTTAACTCATGAAAGTATAAGAAGGTGTAAGGTGTGATAAGTGAGGGAATACAACCCTGGGAGCCTCAGGTCTGAATTTAGGTTTGGGAGTCAGTTTTAGGTTCAATAGCCCTTTGCCTGCCCGTGTCGTGCAGGTCCACGCTCTGTGGACACGGTTCTGCAGAAACACGTGAGCACAAGCTCTTAAGAAGATGGGATAACCAGAAAAATTTCCTACCATCGGTCACATCACTCAGAGAAAAACAACAGACAAGACAGAAACCAAAGTTTGTCTTGTCTGACTTAGCACAAAAACTACAAATAACATTTATTATAAACCAAATATACGTTTTGTGCTCATATTCTTTACCAAATAAATTACCTGCCTTAAGGAAACATTTCCATGTACCTACAGCTACCGAAGACCTCAGATCTGTCCTTAGGTTTATGCACACTCCTTCCTGTAGTCCTGAAAACTTACTGTGCTCGCACAGCAACTGCTTTGACATCTAGGATGCTCGTTTGCAAAAGCAGGTCACAGCTGTAATTGCTTTTGCAAGTTTATTAGATTTGAAATTCTTCTTCGAACATTGTGTGTAAGGTATTTTTTTATCATGGAAGTACTATTATTAACTATTGTGTGTTGGTAATAATTAAATAAATAGCTGTAGGCTGTAGAAATTTCAAATATGAGAAAAGAAAGGAAGGATCATCTAGGATAGTGTTTTGTTTTTTTTTTTTCTGTAGTTTTCCTAAATGGAGTTATTGGTATGCTGCCGCTCTGACTGGGAAAAGGAAATGTGAAGTTCAAAGAGCCTAGAAGATGGTCAGGATGGGTTATAGAAGGTGACTTCTGGCATGGAGCTACATGGGAATCTACCAGTTGTCCTTGAGAAGATGTGGATTAAAGAAAGAAAATGTAAAATAACTAAAAGAAAAATGACAAGGTTTGGGCTGAAAGAGGACCTATCAGCCTGGAGGAGACTTGCTAGTCTCTGCCAAGGACCTGAGCGCAAGCAGCAGGACTGCTCTCACGTAGTACACTTACACCCAGGTGGAAGGCACTATGAATACAAAGGAGGAGAGAAGTGTTGTGCAAGAAGAATCAAATAACCTCGAGGGCTGGGTAATCCAGAAATGTTACATGTACTAATTAGGAAGTGCAAAGCTGCGCTGCTCAGCAAAAGTTGCTGTCTGCTCCTTGGCTGGAGATGACAGTTGAGGATAAATACATGGCTGGCTGAGACCATCTGCTGATGCGACGTAGACGACAACAGTGAGAAAATCATGCCAGAACATTGCAGGTGTGGCATTGTCAACAGGGAAAAGAAAGACATGATGATGTTAAATAAAGCCCTTGACCACAAATACGTACACGGTATTTTAGAAGAACCCAAGCTAATGAAAGACAAACCTCAAACTAGTAAAGACAGCGAAGAGCTATTGAGGTAGCCAGGGAAATGGAGATCGTGTCAAAAAAAGCCAAACAAGTCAGCATTGTTTATTTACCCTACAAAAATAGAAGGTGGGAAGTGATCTAACCAGCCTTCACATACAACAGCTCATTATCTCTCCCCAGTATAGGCGAACGATGACGAAATAAGAATAATGAAGGATACACTGAACACAACCAAAACGTAGACTGGAAAGTAAAGTTCCCAACTATGGGACCAATGGTATTTTAGAACAGTGAAACGAGCAAGTCCAAAAAACCCCTCTGAATTCAAGATGAGGGTTAGGTAAGGGATTTATGTGATACTGTTGCCAGTGCTACATAGGGGCTACACATCCAGGGCGACGTTGCAATCTTGGAGCATCTCTCCTTAAGCCTTAGCCGTGCTCTAAGGCTCTGAGCCGCTACTCCTCCTCTGTGACTTTTCCAGCTTGGATGCCCTTGCGCAATCCTGAAATCTCCTCTGTCTGACCCCATAGGCTCAGAACACCCACTGGCATAGACACACAACTGCAGTCTCAAAAAAATTATCTCTCAGCTTCTTCTCCGTTCATCCTTAGCAGTCCCAGAAATCCTTATCTTTATTAGAGAGCATGGGCAGCCGTAAAGAACTGACTTTACACAAGCCCTAAGTATTGGTGCTGCTTCTGAGGGGCAAATCTCAGATCTGTAAGTACGACTGTCCAGAGAAGCTGTGGCTGCCCCATCCCTGGATGTGCTCAAGGCCAGCTTGGATGGGGCTTTGAACAACCTGGTGTAGTGGAAGGTGTCCCTGCCCATAGCAGGGGGGTTGGAATGAGATAATCTTTAAAGTCCCTTCCAACCCTATGATTCTATGACTACATTCCCTTGAGACATGCGGTCTGAAGGGCCAGGAGTTGCTCTGGGGCAGGCAGCACATGCCCTTTATATTCCAGAAAAACTACCTCTGGCCAGTGTTCGTAGGATCAGTATGTGTCACAGCATGCAGCAGCCCATCACTTGTGTACACGACACACGAAACAAGTATGGAAGCTCCTATTACAACACTGGACCTCAAAAAGCAGCAGCTGCAGAAGCTATTCAGTATATCTCTATAAAGTAAAGTATTACTGAAAGAATTATTACAGGAATTGTTGGGCAAATTCTATCATCTTCCATGAAAACAGTAGTGAGACAGCTATTTTGTTGCCTTCTGGTGTTGGTGTCTGAGTGTCATAAATTGTCTTTTCTCTTTAGGATTGTTTCCTATAAACACAGTTAAGTTAGAAAAAACCTGACACCCTCCCCCAACCCCTTCTCAAAAAACAGAGGGGAAAAAAAACAAAGGAAAAGATTAAATAATTCTCTAGTCCAATTCCTGTCATTCTGCAACGAACACTTACTGTCCAAGGTGTAGGTGAACCTGTTTCATTTATACTTTTTTGGCTCTACACATACCAAGGTCAGATCTCTTGACAAAACACTCCTCTAGGAAAACATCAAACATTTACATAACTGCATTTCAAGAAAATGTAACTGCTCTTTCAGTATTATCTGTTTAAACACTGACAATGCGGCTGGAATGTAGGAAACAAAGGACGATGTCATTCCT